ACAAATCTCAGCCTGAGCTGTGTGTGACTGGTCTGCATTCTCAGGTGTCTCCTGAACCCTGGCTCCCAAGGAAAGTAACTTGGTGAATTCCTTTTGTTCAAGGAAAAGAATTATTTCCCAAAAATGATCTGCTAAGTTAAATTCCTTATTTTTTACTTCTATAAGTGGGTCTTAATTTGTACTTACTGTAAAAATGTCTTTACTCCTAAACAGAGAGTTGGCAGGGCTGTTTTACCCCCTGGACATGAGGGTGCAATAGTCGGGTCTATGGGGTGTTCTCTAAGTACAAAGATGTTTGAGGTCTGGAAAACCTGTTGGTCCTTAACTACAAGTCAAACAAACAAAAATCCTTAAAAAACTTGATAACTGTTTGTGTGCCTAAAAAACGGAACATTATGTCAACCTCAGTAGTGGCTAAATGAATGTAGGGTACTCATGAATCTTACTTTGAGAAAATCTGTATGTAGTTACTTCCACTTTGCAAGCACCCCAGAGTTTGTATGCTTATTGTTGATAAATCATATAATTGTAAATTGAGTCACTTGTAAACCAGGTAATTCTAATAACAGAAGCAGAAAAGTCATTTCAAATTTACCACAAAATTACACGTAAAGTGGGATGCAGGTGCATTTTGACATGATGCGGGGTGGGACCTCCATAAGTAAGAGTGCCCAGGCTGGGAGCAGTCTTGAAATGGACCCTCTGGTTCCCAATGTATTTGTCTGCCATGCCTAAAATGTAATCAGCATGAAGGTACTAAAGAAGATACACAGATGTCTCTCCCCGCCTACCTTTCCACTTTCTCTTGTTCCCCTGCACTCCTTGTACTCAGAGAGATGTGACATGTGGCTGGTAGACTTCTATAGAGGGTCTACAGTGAGGGCTCAGAGGGGTGAAACTTTTCTCTAAGAGAAAATCCAAAGATGCTAGTCTCTATCCAGAAGCCTGCGGCAGTCTGTGGATTGTAGAGGTCCCCAGCCAGGGGACCCCAGGGCCTCTTTTCCTCAGTCTTTATGAAAATGACAAAAGCATTGGTGGAGAGAGGCTGAACCCACACTCTATAATGATATCTTTGTGCATTTCCCCTGTGATAACATGGACCATGATGCTTACGTGGGCGACAAGAGCACACAACAAATGATACCAACTTCCATCTTCTTACCAGGGAAGAATTAGTACCCAGGGTCTTTTATTAGCTGTTGCGGATGAAATGACACAGAGGACAAGACACACATAAAAGACAGACACAGACACAACTCCGGCCGGAGGAACAATCCTACGCAAGCCCCTCTTGAGGTTTATTTTATACCCCGGTAACTGGATACAAACTGAAATCTACAAGATGCATTCCTTTACCAATTAAGGGCAAGTAGCCAAACACATTTCAAGGACAGGGGGGAGCAAAGGGAGGAAGCAACCACAACATGTTTACTAAGAGGCCTGCTCACAATTCCAGCCTCCTCCTTAGTTCTAAGGAGGGCATGTTCCCTCGTTTGCGAGCGGACCATTAAACTTGGATATTGTGTGCAGGCTTCCTGGCAGAGCACCCTGTTTGCAGGTATGCTTTGCCCAGGCAGGGAGCCCCGTGTGCAGGCACATCCCCGCGTCCCTAACCACGCTTTCTTGTGGTCACTGTCGGGCTCCCACAATTAGCAAATCATCCTCTTTCTCTTTAAGACCATTCTTTACCAGTCCCTTTTGATAGAGATTAGGCTTCAATTCAAGGCTCCTCACCTCCTCCCTGCCTTCCCTCTCATCCACTGTATGGGAGAATTCCAGTTCTCAGGCCCCGCTGAGCAGGCATGGCCACGTTCCACACTGCCTGATTCTCACCTCCTGGACTCCAGTTGAGGTTACCTGAAGGTTCTCTCTTCCTTGTCACCAAAAATCTCCAACTAAACAGAAGCTCTTAGCAAAATGCTAGTTACCTGTCTGGCCTGTGACTCCAGTGCTGCTTCTAAGTGTAGACTTTGCTGTTCTCTCACCAACCGCAGAGCTCTCTTCTGCCCTCATGTCCTTTGCTTCAATCCATCATCCTTATTCCCTGCTATACTATAAGCATGGCAGGGAGCAGGAAAAATTGCTTCCTAGTTGGGACCTAAGCTGCTCTGACCTCCTTCTTCTGACTCTTCCTTGTTTCAGGCTCCCATACAGCTTAGGGGCACTTGGCAATCATCTCTCAAACTGTATCTGTCACTGGGAGCTTTCTGGAGCTCAGAGGTACCATCCTTGTCATTTCTGCCCTTTTTCTGGTACCTGGTGCTGGTCTGTGTGGCTGTCTCTTGTTTCCTGTCATTGAGGGCAAGGGCTAGAGCCGATCAGCCCCAGATGAGTGCTGGGTGACTGTAGCAAAGGTCAGCTACTGGAGCATGTGGATGCCCAGTGTGTCTGCGAGGGCCTAGGCAAACCTTGTTTGTGTCCACCTCTTGTTTGGACACTTAGTCTTGCAAAGACAAGTGCAGAGCCCCCTCTAACAAACACCATTGTGGTAAAAGCATAGTCAGACCTTAGTTATCTCCTCTACTTCTGGGATGGTCAGCAAGGACAAGATGGGGATTTCTAATCTAAAGAACAGTTCTTTGTAGTGAGAGCTAAGATTTACATAGTGTTGTCTACAACCTATCTAATTGGGTTCATAGGACACAGGCTCTAAACTCCTGTGAGGCCTCCGCCAAACTTTAAATTGCTTCTGGGATTAAAACTGGCCCCAAACTACCAGAACTCTAAATTGCTCCATGGTCTTTGACAGAACTTGTAGAGAGAGGGCAAGGGGCAGAGAGCAGAGTGTGTCTGCCCTGATCACTCAGGTTGGGCATGACTGCAGGGCCACTGGGAAGCAGCAACTTGAGGCGTCCTTCCTGCTATTACCTCACCAGGCATGGAGAAGACCAGCAAAGAGAGCAGCTAGAGCCCCTTCAGCTATGGCCAACCCTGAAATTTCTTTACCTTCTGTGAAATTTGAAGGGACTGCTTAGCTCCAAGACTGATAAACAGAATTCGCTGCACATTTCCAGGCACAGCCTCAATGGATAGAGCTAGACAGGGAATGGTCAAGGTGGGCAGCTGAAGCTATCACCTCCAAAGCCAGAAGCCTTTTACCATCCTCCCTGCCACAAAATCTCTTGTCCAGGTAAGCTCCTGACCCCATTATGGACTCATCCCCATACTGGATGTAGACCGAGCTCTCTCTGTGGCTGAAGCTTCTCCAAATTGGTGGGAGAAAAGAAAAGATAGTTGTGAGTAGGTCCCAGCTCACAGCTCCCATGTCTCTGAAAGACTTCTGTAGGGGAAGGGAGCAGGCATGTCCTGGGAGTTCAGGCCAGTGGGGGGCAGTAGGAGGTAAGGTATGGGGATAATATTAGAAGAAGGAAGTTCTGTTCAATGTAAGAGAAAACTTTCCAGCAATCAAGGCTGTCTGACAAAGTGATGGGAGCCATGTACTCGCATAGCTCAAGGTATTCAAAGCAGAAATGGGAAAATTGCATTTCATAGATGTTCATACAATCGAGGGGAAAGAAGCAAACCAGTTACTTTTTGACATTTCTGCCAAGCTTGAGATTCTTCAGCCAATAGCACTAATGTCTCTAAAAACAGATCTCTTTTTTCCAAGGATTCTCAATGCCTATAGTTAATGTCTTCTGATAATTGCATGAGGACAGCTTCAAAGTAGCATCAATAGTGTAATAGTCATGTAATGTGTGAAGCCCAGGGACAGCCCCCTCCCCAGGCTCTGTTACAAGGCAGATATCTTAGAGAAAGGTGTGACATCTCAGGATCAGGACATGAACAGGATTTCATAGTGTATCCATGGATCCTCAGTAGACCTGCTCTGGCACCAACTGGGGAGCACTTGTGAGCTTCTCTTTCCTCATGTTTAACATGAGAAGCCAAGGTTTGAGGTTTTCTCTAATATATTGGATTAACTGGTCTACATGACTGGAGCGCATCCTATGTGCAGCGCCTCTTTGGAGAAACCCTATTACAAGGCTGGGTAGAATTGTCTGCTCTTCTGTGGGGGAGAAAGCATTACTGTGGCATCGCACCAGCTTTAATGGTCAACTCTGATATAAAAGGGTCTGAGTGGGGAGTTGTGACTTATAAAACAGCTACAAAAACATAGAGCCTGATCATAAAGTCACAAATATTCACACTGGGAGGCATGCAGGACATTCATCCTTGGATTCTACTCTTGCTCCCTAGCGCTGGGGGCTGGAACTGACTGGAGAAGGGGGCTGGAAGGGCAACTTCAATGCTGTGGACAAAGGCCATGGTTAGAGAGGGGGCATGTGGAAGTGCTTTTGTTAGGGTCTCCACGAACTATTAGCCAGATAGTCCCTATTGACAGTGTAATGAAGGATATCAGCCACTCAAACTCATGAGAAATGAAGTATAAGCCAGGCATCAAGTAACAAATATAAATGCTTGGCAGATTCTAATGTTCCTGACCTCTGTTCATCACATTCTCTCCATGTAGGACTCCATGTGGAGCCAAATTATTGTCAGAAAATTATTGTATAAGCACATGATTAGAGCAAGGGGAGTAAGTGAAGTGATGTCAGTGGTTATCATCACTGAATAAGACAGCCTTAAGTTCTATGGACACTACAGGGACAATTACGGGCAGGCAGGGCGTCAGAAGAGTCAATCAGTGCTCTGGACCCAGGCATGCAGCATACCCTCAGAGTTCCTTGTTTCTGGTTCCTATGTAGACCCTTCCTTCAAGTGTGTCGACACTACCGATCTGGCTAAAATTCTATTGTATATCATAATTTGATTAAGTTTCCAGGGTCTGTTCTTCCTGCTTTTGATTTTATATATCCTGACTTTTAAGGTAACTTCAGTGGAGAATGATTTTCGTAACTTCAATGTTGGTATTATAAGTTGGCATGTCAAAGCATAAATTTATTTTAAGTTCTCATTTTTAAATCACCACATATCGATCCCTATAAACATGTGCTTGCTGTCCTCAGTTTTCCTGAGGGTAGAAGAGAGAATTTAAAATGGAACTGGGCAACCAATCTGTTGTAGCAGGATTTGTCTTGCTGGGGCTGTCAGATCAGCCAAAGCTTGAGAAAACATTCTTTGTGCTAATCCTGTCGATGTACATGGTGATCCTGCTGGGCAATGGGGTCCTCATCCTGGTGACCATCCTTGACTCCCGCCTGCACACGCCCATGTACTTCTTCCTGGGGAACCTCTCCTTCCTGGACATCTGCTACACAACCTCTTCCATCCCTCTTGTGCTGGACGGCTTCCTCACTCCCAGGAAAACCATCTCCTTCTCAGCCTGTGCCGTGCAGATGTTCCTCTCCTTTGCTATGGGAGCCACAGAGTGTGTGCTTCTGGGCATGATGGCGTTTGATCGCTATGTGGCCATCTGTAACCCCCTGAGATACCCTGTGGTCATGAGAAAGTCTGTCTATGTGCCCATGGCTCTCAGCTCCTGGATGGCTGGTGGAGCCAACTCCTTGGTGCAGATCTCTCTTGCAGTGCAATTACCTTTCTGTGGGGACAACGTCATCAACCACTTCACCTGTGAGATCCTGGCTGTCCTGAAGTTGGCTTGTGCGGACATCTCCATCAATGTGATCAGCATGGGGGTGGCCAATGTGATCTTCCTGGGGGTCCCAGTTCTGTTCATCTTTGTCTCCTACATCTTCATCCTCACCACTATCCTGAGGATCCCCTCAGCTGAGGGGAGGAAAAAGGCCTTTTCCACCTGCTCGGCCCACCTCACTGTGGTGGTCATCTTCTATGGAACCATCCTCTTTATGTACGGAAAGCCCAAATCCAAGGACCCCCTGGGGGCAGACAAGCAGGACCTTTCAGACAAGCTCATCTCCCTCTTCTATGGAGTCCTGACTCCCATGCTCAACCCCATCATCTACAGCCTCAGAAACAAGGATGTGAAGGTCGCTGTGAAGACCCTGGTGAGTCAGAAATGCTTTGCCCAGTGAGAGTGGGAGGAAGCAGCATAACTTGTGGCTCTGTGCACACAGATACCCTAGGAAATGACTGCTTCATAAGCATAGAGTTGTTCGATGGTCCTACACACCAGTTTCATCACAAAACTGCCCAAACAGTGCACATCAGGTTGGGACTCTCCTGACTGATTGACAATGGAACATGAAATCCTTGGAATGAAGAGGGGAGAGGACTGTGCTACATCACCTAGAAACAAGGATAAGTGACTATTAAATTTTATTTTTATTATGAAAAATAAATAAAAATGGAAAACTTTGTAAGAAAAACATACTTTCCTTGTTCATGTGCTGACCAGCTGCAATTTGTCTGTGCCAATTGTGTTGTTTTCTGCTTTACTGTGCAAAGGGGAGGGAGTAGGGCAGGGAGGAAAAGTCACTTCTTAACTGGTGTCCAAACTGAAAACCAACCTGCCATTTCGGAAAATTACCAACACCAAGACATCTCAAATAATACCATTTAACCCTGTTAAGGGGCCCAGAGTGCTTCCTGTTTAATTATTTCCTGCTTAATATCATAGAACTTATTTTGGCTCCATCTTCTTTTACTGTACATAAAGCACATCTATTCCTACCCAAATTTGTGAAGGAGGATTTTGTGTCAATACTAATCAAACTCAAGACACTGTAGGCCAAGAATAAAATTTCTAGCATTCTCCAGTTCATTATTACTGCAATGCAAAGCTTATATTCTGAGTCCCTTTATTTCCAGAATTAATGCTTACAACTATCCCGACCCCAATGGTCAAACTCAGTTTCCTCTGTCTCTTCAGGATTTGGCCTGGACACTGGCACCAATGCTACAAATACACTTGTAATTACCCATATGGTTAAGAGCATGGACTTTGGAGCCTGACTGATGTGGAGGTGCCTCTGCCTGTGTGATTTCGGATACATTTTTAAAAAGCTACTTAATCTTGTAGACTCAGTTTTCTAATTTGTATATTGGAGATAATTAAATCAACCCCATGGAGTTGTTGTGGAGATTAAATATGTTTCATTTAGGACGGGGGGTGAGGGTGGGGGAGAGGGAGAATGGGTCATGAGTACTGAGGAGAGCACATGCTGGGGTGAGCAGTGGGTGTTGTATGTAAGCCAACTTGACAATAAAATATATTAATAAAAATAATTAATATATTCCATATCAATTTAATATATATACATATATGATGCACAGTGGCTAACAAAGAGTTTTCTCCCAATTAATAAATGAACATTTTTATTATTAATGAAATATGTTAAATAACTCCTCTGAGGCCATATGACACTTGAATACAGCTCAATTCCACAGTTAACTGAATCACTTTCAATTTATTATTACAGTGCCTTTTTGTTTGGCTTCCTAGTTTATGAGTCCATAATCCCATTTCTCTGGGCATTTCCCCAGTCATCCCTCTTCCTTATCCTCACACATGAGGTGTGCATGTCTGAGCTGTGTGACACTGACCCTATCTTGGCCAGCCAGATTCTTTCTGCAAGGTTTTGGGGACTGTTGTTAATACCCAAGAAATGAGTCACTGCAACCATAACATACAAACCTGGGAGTTTTGGGGTAATTGTGTCTGCCCATGTGTACTGGGGTGGTAAAGAGAAACCAAGTCTGCAAAGAGAAAAGAGAGAACAGCCAAAGAGCAGATGATTGAGGGCATCCTCAAATGTTCCCAGTTCTCGGTTTCCAACTCTTCCTCAACCTGGCCCATATTCCTGCACTTCTGCTTCTAAAGGACACTCTTCTCTATTAGATTATACTATTCAATAATCTAGATTAAGTTACTTTCTTTGAAAGAGGGCAATAAAAGTCATATCTAATATGATTACTAACTTGTAGAAAGTAGATATTCTCTATTGTGTGCCTTGTGCAAACGGAGTGCTAGGCTATAATGAACAGCAAAAGCCTTAAAGAATTCAGTTTTGAAACAACTGTTGTGAACTCAATAGGCAGCGCTTCTTGTAATCAATTACTCCCTTTCTGCTACAGTGGCTTTGATCTCTGTGGATCCCATCATCTGTATATTTGGAACATGTCCAGAGGTTGATGTAACATAAAATGTCTAGGTTCAAATCCCTGGCCAGCCATGTAGAGCTGAGAGACCAAGAGTGTATTCACTGCTCTTGAACAATCTCAGGTATATTCTTCCACACAAAGAAGCAAGAGTAGCCCTGGTTACATAACCTCCAGTTGTCTATTAGGACAATTTGTGCTTTCAGTCACTGTAACATTAGGTTTTATAGGTCTAAGTGTCCTAGTTCTCAGAGAAGTGTGGCTTCCACCGGGAGACACAGAAAGAGTCTCATTAAACCTTTGTAGCACTTAATAGAGTATAACTTACCTACCATAAGACTCACCCATTAGAAGTCATGTTTAATGATTTTTGATAAATCTATACAGTTGTCCAGTTATCACTACAAACCAATTTTAGAACATTTACATCATTTCAAAAAGTTCTCTCATGCCCATTTGCAGGTAATCAATCCCCAACTCCAGTCCCAGGTAACTACTAATCTACTCATTTCTAGAAAGATTTGCCTTTTCTAGAAATTTTAGATAAATGGCACAATACAATGTATAGTATTTTGTGTCCGACATCTTTCATTTAGCATGTTTTTGAGGCTCACCTAGTTATAACATGTATTAGTAGTTTTCTCCTTTTTATCACAGACAAGAATTGTATGGATCTACCACATTGTGTTTATGTATTCATTCATTGATGGACATTTGGATTTGTCTACCTTTTGGCTATCATGAATAATGTTACCATGAACATTCATGTACACAAGCTTGTGTGGAATTGGTGGGTTGATTGGTGCAAATATGTTTATCTGTAAGAAACTGATAGACTGGTTTCCAAAGTAGCTGCATCATTTTAAATTCCCACATTGTACGACACTGCCTGTTTCTTTACATCATCACCAACATCTGGTATTATTAGTATTTTCAATGTAGTTCTCCTAGTAGATATACAGTAGCAACCCACTGTAGTTTTAATTTGCATTTCCCTGATGGCTACTGATGTTGAGCATCTTTTCATGTGCTTATTAGCCGTCACACCTTTTTAGTGAAGATATTTTAAATTGGGCTATTAATCTTTTCATTATTGAGCCATACATAAGAGTTTTTTATGTAACCTGGATGTACATCCTTTATCATATATGTAAATTGCAAGTATTTCAGTCTTTTTTGTCTTTTCATTTTTATGGTATCATTTGAAAAACAAAAGTTTTTAATTTTGTAGTATAATAATCAATTTTTAAAAATAAATTTTGATGTCTTATTTAAGAAATCTTCACTTATCAAGGTTATAAAGATTTTATCCCATGTTTCCTTCTAGAAGTTGTATTGTTGTTGTTGTTGTTGTTGTTTAAAGAGAAAGAGAGAGTGCATGAGTGGGAGAGAGGGACAGAAGGAGAGAGAGAGAGAATCCTAAGCCATCTCCACACTCACCATGGAGCCTAATGCAAGGCTCGATCTCATGACCCTGGGATCATGACCTGAGACAAAATCAAAAGTCAGATGCTCAATTGACTAAGCCACCCAGGCACCCTACAGGTTATATAGTTTTAAGTTTTACATTTAGGTCTGTGATCCATTTTGAGTTAACTTCTTGTGTGGTATGAAGTAAGGATTTCATTAATTTTTTACATATGAATATCCAATTGTTTCAGACCATTTGTTGAAAATACTATTTCCACACTCCTCCCCCCCCCCCCTCCATTGGATTGCCTTGGCACCTTCATTGAAAGTCAATTGACCATAAATTTAAGGATTGATTTCTGGACTTTCTATTCTGTTATATCTACTAAACTTAAATTTATGGCTATCCTCCAGTCATGTTGGACTTCTTATGCCAGGAGACCAGCAGGCAAGGCAAGGAGTCACTGATCCTAGTAATCAGGAGGAGACAGGGCTGCTTTAACCCAATGAGGGCTGCTATGGACTAAATATCTGTGTCCCACTAAAATTCATATTTTGAATCCAGAATCTATAACCTAGAAAACTCAACCTCTGACTGCTTTGTATCCAACAACAGGACCATATATCACAGAGATTCTGAATCAGGTTGTCTGGCTTTCAAGAGAGCAATCATTTCAGTCCAGAAGGTATTCCACTACAAACACAACACAGCTGTGGAGTTAAAAGAAAGAATTTCACAGAAAATAAATAAAATAAATGTGGCATTGCATGGAGCAAAGGCATTGTGCACTTTCCATTTATAGGGGACTAGGTAAGTATCAGGTTTCAGAACAATGCAGAAAGCCGAGCAGCTGATAGTACAACAAAAGACTGGTTATGTGGTTGTGGCCAATCAAGGAGTAGTACTCACAACAGGAACAAACAAAACTATCCAAGTTGACCAAAGATGATCATGGTGTGATGGATTCCAAGAAGTGATGGACATCATCAAATAGGGATTCAGATGGGTCTAATATTTGCTCTGTGTTACTCCAGAATGTCGGTTAATTATTGAGGACAGCGCTTCTCAAACCTTGATGTGAATATGAATCATCTGGGGATTTTGTTACAATGCAGATTATGGTTCAGTAAATCTGGAGTGGGACTGGAGATTTTGTAGTTCTAACAAGATCTCAAGTGATGTCACTGCTGGTCTTAAACTACACCTTGAGGAGCAAGTACCTAGAATATTCCGGCAGAAGAAGTCTGGCACTGGGGTTGATTTATTAATTTGCTTTTCTGGCTGATTTATATATTCCTGTTTGAGTAATAATTTTGAGACAGCTAAAAGATTCAGATGTATACAGTAATCCCTAAAGTAACCATTGGAAAAGAGATAAAGCCAAAAATCCAATAGATAGATTAAAGTGGAATTAGTTCTAAGAACTATTCGATTAACCCAAGAGATGGCAGGAAAGGAAGAAGAGAGAAACAAAAAATAGATGAGATAAATGGAAAACAATAACATAATAGTAAATCTAAACCCAACTAATCAATGATTACATTAAATAGAAATAGATTAAAC